AAATTCCAACAAAATAAAATTTTCTATGAAAGCTGCTTCCATAGAGAAACAATTCCTTTTATATACGAACACTTCAAATACAACATGGAAACAGCAATGAACAATGCTGAAGACCTAAATACAGCCAACCTCCAAATAGGGCCTGAGACCTTCCAGGAGTCTTCTGAGAACTTCACAAGACTATGAACTTTTATTCACTTAAAAACACTTGAGCTATTCAGGCAATCCTCACACCTAAGGGTTCTGCTTCATAAACTACAATGTCATCCACTGTACATCAGGAACTAGCCCAGGATTTTTTCTTCAGCAACCCTCTGAGATGCAAGTTCAGAACGTGCTGAAATCTTATAATTGTGTAGTGGACAGTGATTATTGGAAACGGTAAAGAATTCTACCTCCATACAAGGCTGTATCTTCCCACTTCTGAGAACCCATTTCTATTCACCGTCACACTCTAATCTATGTGAAACCCCCTTCCTAATAAATTCTAAGCTTGCTTCATACTGGCTCAATGAGAAATTCCTTTCTGTGATAAAGTATACCAGATTTACTAGAGATCTCTGAGAATTCCTCCTCTCTTACAAAAATCAGCATGAACTGTTTCCTGCCTGTACCCCATTGCTGCTACTATCTTCATGGCCTTTTAATATGTATCAGCTTTTTGTCTCTGGCTGCAATAAGGTTCCTCTGAACACTGATTTTTAACCCTTCTGTAACTATTATGTAATCTATCTACCTACTTACCTAGCATATCTATCTATCTATCTATCTATCTATCTATCTATCTATCTATCTATCTATAATTATACTAGTAATTCATATTATAAAAGAATCTATCTACATACATACAATTATAATAGTAATGCATATTATAAAAGACCCTGTAATTGCTAGTGGGAGCTATTAAGGAATATGAGACTGCCTGGTAGATGCAGCTAATAAGATTAGCTTATTTTGTAAATTTATCATTCAATGTGTCCATCCATGTTTCTGACAAACCACTCTCATGAATAGGGAGAGGTGGCTCAATTTGTGGAGGCTCATTGGAAGAAGCAGGGATTTCCTAAGAAGCTTCTAGTTTATTAAGCTGGATCCTACAATGCTTATCAAGGCCATCCCCACGTGGTAAAGTCTCAAGCAAATAGACATTTTTATTAGTGTTTCTTTAGTTCTTCATAGACTAAGATGTAGGCCTAGATCAGAATATGGCTCAGATACACCACACACATAGAGTTTGCAGACAGAGTTGACAGCTACAACCCCTATCTCAACAAAGACAGATGTATTCCAGAAAGGGAGTCCTCTGGACTTATAAATCTAGGGGGAAAGTCTACATTCTGCTTTACCCATGTCTGCCTCCCCTTGATGGCAAGTTCTCTACTGTCACTGTCAGGGGCTCAACCCCAGGCCACAGAGTGAACAGTAAGTAGAACTGACTGTGACTCTGAAGCTGACGGAAGAATTCAAGAACCCTGAATGCAGCAGTACAAGTCAGGAAGCTAACACCGAAGTCTCAGAGAGCTGCTGCCGAGAAAGCCCATGGCTCCAGCAATCCAAGTGTCTTATGGAAAATACACATGAGCAGTAAAGGCAAGAGGGGAGGGTGTTTGTAGCTTTCCCTCATGGTATAAAACAATCTCTTCCACTATCATAGTACAGGACACAGATAATGAAGACTAAGTCAATGGTGGCCAGGCAGGCATGACAAGAAAGAGTAAGAAACACAGAGATCACTAGGTCTATGACAACAGCAATGTGGCTGTTCATACGCCCTAAGAGACAGAATGAGCTGGGAGAGTCACAGGACTCGATTTTAGGATTCCACCTACCTCATCCTCTTGCCTCCGAGTTGCACAAGACCACGGAAGATGCTAGAATATATAGGAACGGAAAAATTAAAATGGGATTCCATGAAGCAGCTTTTCTGTTTTGGACACTTTCTGGGCTAAGACTTCTCAGTCATACAGCAGCTTTGCAATTCATGGTCCTATAAGTAGACTCAATGGATTTACCGGTTTCTAACGCGAGGTCCAGTGGAACCCTTGTTTTACTGTGCTCATGGTGCCCCATCTCGGCTAATCTCACTTTTGCTCATCTGCCAAGGAAACGAAATGCAACAAATATGTAGGTTTTGAAAGACGCTTTCAGGGCTGACGTGAAGGAAGGGCATCTCCAGTGACTAGGACACCTGAGTTAAGGCAAGTTAAGACATCTGAATGAGCCCACTTGTTACCGCTTTCTCAGCTACCAGAGTCTACTGGGTAGCTCACCTCACTACCGACTGGGCGAGGTCTTCACTGCTTTGAGATGTAGTCTTAGATGTAGACCAGGCCTGCTTGAGTTCTAAAATTTCTTGTGTTCCTCAATAACAGGCTTCTGGAAGACTGAGTGTGATCTTCCCACTCCCCAGGCCCTCTCCTCAAGCTGGCTACATGGTACTGACTCCAGGTCTACCAGTTCTTCTTGAAATCAGTTTCTTCAATGTAATGAAGGACCCAAGTCAACAACTTCCACTGGGCTACATCCTGAACCTCCAGGCTCTGGGTGAAAGAGAACTAAGCACATGTCAATCTTCTGGCTTGAACTGACGGACAAATTTTCCATGGCCTACAACTTTCAAAAGTACCGGCTGCTACTGTTCAGTGTAGAAGCAGGAACCGTCCAAGCCAAGGACAATGGCACGGGGTTTTGATCCTACTTCATGTTCGGGCTTTGTGGGAGCCTAGGCAGTTTGGATGTTCACCTTCCTAGACATGGACGGAGGGGGGCGGACCTTGGACTTTCCACAGGGCAGGGAACCCTGACTGCTCAATGGACTGGAGAGGGAGGGGAAGAGGAATTTGGGGGAGGGGGAGAAGGGTGGGAGGAGGGGGAGGGAAATGGGAGGCTGGGAGGAGGGGGAAACTTTTTTTTCCTTTTCTCAATAAAAAAAAAAACACTGAAAAAAAAAGTACCGACTGCTGTTCATTCCAGGAAGAAGTTTTAGAGCGCATTCCACCAGTGGCCACCTGATGGCATGGATTCCAACACCTGAACCAGTGACTCAATACACAGCCAACAGGTGACAGGCAGGCCAGCTTGAAGAGTAAGTGTTCCATGGCCCACAGAATCAACTAGTCAGGGTTCATAGAGGCTCACAGAGACTGAGTGACAATCAGGAGCTTATATGAGCTTAATCTAGGTCCTCTGCTGCATATGTGTTATGGTTATGTAGCTTGCTGTCCTTGTGGGACTCCTAACGGTGGGAGCAGGAGCTGTCTCTTGACTCTTTTGCCTGCTTTTGGGACCTTTTCCTCCTATTGGATTGCCTCATCTAGCCTTGATATGAGGGTATGTTCCTGGCCTTATTGTAACTTGTTATGCCATGTTCTGTTGATATCCTTGGGAGGCCTGTTCTTTTCCGAAGGGAAACAGAGGAGTGGATCTGGGGGAGGAGAGGAGGGAGGGGCAGCTACAGATGTCATATATGAGAGAATAAAAAAAAGTGTTTCAGTGGCCATTGGTGTTTTAGAAAGGAAACCTTGGGATAGAATTGTTTAAAATATAAATTCAGTGCAGCTGTTAAAAAAAAAAAAACACCACGAAAGAGAATGACTATATAACCTAAGTAGTCACAAAAGGATTAAAGCCACAGTGTTGAAGAAATGACTACTCCACCACATTGCCCAGACATGCATACAGCAAAAGGGCCTCTTAGATCAAAGTCTTCGAGGCTCAGGGCATCCAGCTGCTCCCTCACTGCACCCCACAGCTCAGCCTGTTTTCTAAGGAGAGGACACAGTGGTCAATATGCGTTAGCACAAAGCAGCCGACGCACGGTGCCAAGCCCTGGTGCAGGAAATAACCAAAGCACAGAGCATGGACACATCACATGGAAACTCTCCAGGGGGAAAACTCAATCCAAAAACATTGTGAGAAGACTGCCTAGAAGACAAAAAGAGATCACAAAATCAAATCAAAAACAACAACTACAAAAAAGACTTTTTTTTTTTTTTTAAAAAAAAGGTGTTGGAAGGGGAACTGCTAAGAAACAAACGACAGATCCCACAAAATGCCAAGCACAAGTTCTGCCACATGCAGGACACGACCCTTGCACCCAAAATGTCAGTGGCTGTGATTAAATGCAGAAGGACCTGCAGGAGATTGGACCTGTCAATCCTTTGTGGGGGAGGGGCCATGAGACCTTGCCACTCCCTGAGGATTTGGGGGCAGGTTACAGTTGATAGGGGATTGAGATATTTTCTCTACTAGTGTTGTCACTAGTTAAATGCCCTGGCTCCGGTAAATAATCTCTCAGTAAATAACCCTAATGAAACTGATTAGTTTACCAAAAAATAGATCAAAGTAGAACTACTACAGAAGAGGGGACTAGTGGGAGGGGGACGGGAGAGAAGATATGTTCACAATACATTAGCATGTATGAAAATGTCGTAATGACACCACCCATTACTATGTATAATATATACTAACATAAAAAAAATTGAACCATTTATTATCTATAATAAAGTACCATTTATTATCTGGAGAAAATAGTGACAAAAGCTGTCTGATAAAATACAACTGTTTGGGAATAACACACATATTTGGGATTTAGGATTTAACCTAGGCCCCCAAGGCTGCGGAAAGGGTTTTGGATCTGAGCTCCTACTTCCGGTACATTCAGAAAGCTCAAGGGAAAACTTTGGGAGGAGGAGGAATCTGCAGCCCAGTTGCTCTCCGGCAGGAACCTCCGCCACGGAAATGGATTTTCTGATGCTTCTTCAGACCATCTCCAGCAGTCTGCGAAGCTGGCTGCAGACACAGAGAGGCCGCAGCAGGGGAAGAGACTGGAAGCAAACTCTGTGTTTCCGCCCAGCTCCTCCCTTCCAGGGCACCGGAGGACACTAGGTCCGTGCAGCCCGCCAGCTCTGCCCTAGGCCAAGGGGACCTGGCCCAGCGCCCCTAGGAGCGCAGAGTCCCTCCTACCTAACCCTCCGAGCAGCCTCGCCACCAGCGCTCACCATCTCCACGGTCCTCTTGCATCTCCAGCACCCGAAGCTCACGATTTCATCAGCGTCCCTAGGCTTCCAGAGGCTGGGGACCACACTAAGACATTTTCAAACACAAAGGCCGGAGATAAGCATAGGCTCGCGAGATTGTCAGGGCCAGCCCCTTCTCTTCGTCAGCTTGATTGGCAGTTTCTCAAACAACACCACTTCTACCAAAGCGACTGCCCACAGGCTTTGATTGATATCAGAAAGCACCAATGACACCAGACAGCTCCCAAGGCTGAATGGGGGGCCCCCGTGACAAGTTTTAGACTGGAGCTGTTTTAGAGGGGGCCTTTTGAAGATTTAGTTCTTAGGGGGATCTGCTGTGTAATGCCATGTAATCCGTCAGTTGTACATGCATACATATGAAGATCCACAAGTGCAGAGAACACAGACAATTATTTTTCCCTTCCCTAGAAATTGTTTGGACTCTGTTCTGGTGGAGACTGCCTCCAGGGTTTTGAGATAGAAAGGCATTCCCAAGTTAGCGTGGTCCAGTACAAACAATGAGAGGGAGAGAGAGGTTCAATTTAAATTTCTAGAGTTTCTTCACTTTAAGAAATTAAAAGAGCTGGCTATGCTAGACCGCAGCTTCTTATCCAAGGACTACGTGTTATGCCCAAATCCGCAAAGTCCCTGCAAAAACCAACAAGGAGACTGAGTCCTGTATGTAAAAACAAAGAGCCTTTATTTTAATCAAGTTTGCAAACTTGATCTCTCTGCATGTCCAACTTATTGGAATAATGGGAGAGCCCTGAGCTCAATTAGAATTGGACTTTTATAGTAGTAAAGGTGGGGGTGAGGAGTTTCTGAGGTCCAGGAGCCCTGATTGGCTGACATTTATTTGTCTAGGAGTGTCCTGGTTAATGTGTGCTGGCAGGTGATCCTATCTACGGTTGGAATGTTAGGCATTTCCTTTGAATGGTCAGTTCTTGGGTGGTAGTTGGGTAATCTCAGTTTGTGGTTCCTTCTGCAATCAGGTACTGCTTCAGGGTAAACTCAGGCCTATTATTAAATTTATTGAGGGCCAAGTTCTACTCTGGCAGGTGATAATGGTTGGAAGTAAAGAACTTCCTTTGGGTGACCTGCCCATACTTAGCTTATCATGGCTGGCCCTCACACTAAATAGGCATTAACATGCTCAAGAGGCCAGTGAGGATGGACCTGAAAAGTTTTTACTGCTCAACAAACCTCTCTGTAGATGCAGTAATCCAAATCAAACCAAATCAGAAAAATCCCGGGTTTAAAATGGATGTCAGCGCTCCCAGGTGGCCCTTGGAAGGAAGACCAGAAAACCAGGTGTTTGTTCTCTGGGGTGCAGTTTAAATACCCTGTGGGAGTGGTCTTGAGTCTCTCTGCGGACAGGTCACCATTTGGCCGGCTTTCTGGGAAGTGGAGTCTGGACTGAGGCAACTCCCAGAGGAGGGGATCTAGAATGGAGCCATCCACCCAAACATTCCAGACTTCCCAGACACGTGGATGCCAGGGGCTTGGGTGAATTCCAAACCCCAAAGAGGACCCTCATGATCATCTTAAGAGGAGACTCCTCTTTTCCTCGTGGCATCAATTTTAAGAAAGAGAAGGTATCATGTGGCTGCTGCGAATAGCCTGGGAGAACAGAATCACACCGGAAATGATGCTGGCAGAAAGGGAATGTTTGTTATGCTTGCTTGACAATGCTGCATTTAATTTCATATATTACAGTTTCTAATGAAAAAATTATCAAGGCCCTTCAAGATTAATGACACTTGCCAATATATTAGTAGAAAATTTAGTAATTGATGATCAATTTACACACTATGGCTAGGAGGATGGTTTAGGAAACAGAAGGAACTCTTGTCTGTGGTCCCAAATTCTCTTTTAATTGTAATGGAAATATTAACCACAGTAGACTGCTTCATTATTTCTTGTATAAAGGGCCTAAAACAAAAGAAAAAACTCACTGAAATGATAATCAGCAAATAAATGCTCACAGCACACCAACATAATAATATTTTAGCTATTTGAACAGACAATCTGTCCTATGATGAAGTCAATGAACACTATATAAGTTCTTTGAGAATTAAAATGAATATAAAGTCAAACCCAAAGAGACAAAAGGAAAAAGAGGAGGGAATTGTAAGAAACAAACATCTATGGTGCATTTTCAGTACGAGGTGCATTTAGACCTCACAGAGAGTCACAGATAAGCAAGAGACACCAAGACCCTGTCTTCTGTAGCTAGTAGCTGGCTCTGCTAGTCGAGGAACTGTCAGTTCAGCACGGGGCTAAGAAGTACCCCTCACACATGTTCATTCTGTAAGGAAGTCGTTGGTTTCCCAAAATGGACTTCAGAGGAATGGGAGAACACCACACAGGCACTGTTTATATTGACCCAGGGAAAGAGATCCTGGTGAAAGACCCCGAAGGTGGGCTGCCTTTCAGTCTGGGGAGACCCTCCCAAGGAACAGCGAGGCCACTTGTGCGGATGCAATCAGCAAGAGGTTTATTCAGATACACAGGTACCTGGGGCGGCTTAGTTGCTCGGAGGACTAGCGCACCTTCAGGTTGGGGCAGTGGATTTTTAAAGGGTAGGGAAGCAGAAGCGCGGGCACAGAAGCGAGACGCATAGTTACAGGGTTCTGATTGGGCAATTCAAATAAGGCTCGGGTTCAAACTGAGTACAGTTCTGTGGTTTCCAAGAAATCAGATATGTATGCTGACTCGGCCTATCTAGGGTACAACTCTTCTTCTGGACCCCAAGTTCCCTGCTGGCAGTCCAGATGGTCGACCATAGATATCTTGTCTGGCTCAATGCCCCTGCCCCTAAGTTGACCAACGCCCTTATCTCTAAATTGAACTCCCCTGTCCTAGCTTTCAGTTATATTGCTCAAAAATTTAAACCTTGTAAAATAGCGTTATTGCTGCTGCTAACTTAATACTGCTAAGTAGGGGTCTTTCACTGGAACATATGACTTCATTGAAAAATGTCTTCTATGCCTTTAAAAATGAATTATTTATCTTTTTTACACCCATGTGCTGTATAGTTTTATGTTAACTTGACCCAGGCTAGATTCTAGAGTCATCTGAAAGGAGGGAACCTCAATTAAGAAAATACCTCCCTCCCTGGGAGATCCACGTGTCTTTCCTAGTCCTTCCTCTAGACCAAACCTCTCTAAGTCTACAGATTATAGCTTGGTTATTATTTATTTAACAGCCATTATACAAATATAAGTGAATATATGCTCTATTAACTTTCAGGGTCTGGGTTACCTCATTCAGGATGATTTTTTTTTCTAGTTCCATCCATTTGCTTGTAAATTTCATGATGCTTTTTTAATGTTGTGAGAGAATCTTTTCTTATTTACTTATTTTCAAAACAATCTTTTCTTATTGTACATACCTATCCCAGTACCCACTACCTCCCCTCCTTCCACTCCTCCCACCTTCTTTCCCCCCACCCCACTCCCCATCCACTCCTCAGAGAGGGTAAAGCTTCTCATCGGGAGTCATTAAACTCTGACACATCACTTTGAATTACCACTGAGGCCTTCCCTGCTCTTTCTAGGCTGAGCAAAGTATCCCTTTAAAAAGAATGGGTTCCAAAAAGCCAGTTCAAGTACTAGGGATAAATCCTGGTCCCACTGCCATTGCCCAAGCCACACAATTGTCACCTACATTCAGAGGGCCTAGTTTGGTCCTATGCATGTTCCCCTACTATCAGTCCAGAGTCAGTGATTTCCTGCTAGCTCAGGTAAACTGTTTCAGTGGGTTATCCCAATCATGGACTTGACCCTTTTGTTCCTATTGTTGCTCCTCCCTCCCTTCAACTGGTCTCCAGAAGGTTGACCAGGGCTTAGCTGTGGATCTCTGCATCTGCTTCTCCCAGTTGCTGGATGAAGGTTCTATGATGACAATTAAGTTAGTCATCAATCTGATTACAGGGAAGGCCAGTTCAGGCACCCTCTCCACTATTGCTTAGGAGTCATCCTTGTGGATTCCTGGGAATTTCCCTGGTGTCAGGTTTCATGCTAGCCCATAATGGCTCTCTTAATCAAGATATCTCTTTCCTTTCTCTCCCTCTCTGTAGGGCCCACAGGTCTACCCCTCCTCCCAGGGTTCATATTGAGAATATCTTGCAGTTTCTGGCAAAATATCTTGTTTGTTCCTGTGCTCGCTCTGCCCACCCTGGTGGTTAGCTACAGGGGAGATGTTTGCTCTGTCTTGAGTCAGGTAATTTCCCACCTGCCTAGGGCATTTCAATAGGTCTCATTTATTTATGTGCTATTGATGTTCAGTTCAGAAAGTCTTCTCATATGTCAATGAGTTCAAGGCTATTACCCACTTTCTCTTTTATCAATTTTAGTGTATCTGGTTTTGTATTGAGGTCTTTGATCAAAGTTCAGTTGACGAGTGGGAGGAGTGAGAATATTAGCCAAGAAGTCAAGACCATGATGGGTTTACCCACTGAAACAGTCTGCCTGAGCTAATGGGAGCTCACCAACACTAGCCAGACTGGGAAGGAGCAAGCAGAGGACCAAACTAGTCCCTTTGAATGTGGTTGACAGTTGCATGGCTGGGGCAGACTTAGGGGCCACTGGCAGTGACACCAGGATTTATCCCTACTGCTTGTACTGACTTTTTTGGAACTGATCTCTTTTGCTGTATACCTTGCTCAGCCTAGATGTAGTAGGGAGGGGATTGGATCTTCCACAAAGCCTACTCTCTCTGAAGATTGGTTTAGGTTGGATGGGAGAGTGTTTGGAGAGAATGGAAAGAGGGAAGGGAGTGGGAACTTGGATTGGTATTTTTAAAAAAATCTAATCAATTAAAAAAAAGATTATTCTTTTTCTTCTTTTCTCCCAAGCCTATGTACATTTATCCAACACTGTGACCCATTGACCCATTTAGAGGTCTTTTCCATCTGGATTTGTCTTTATTGCATATCCGTAATCCTTTTCTGCCCCAAACTACATTTTTTAAATGCTAAGCGGGCATGGATAGGGCAAACTGCTGGCTTGCTCGGCTTAGTCCAGCTTGGTGGAGGCATTTTCAGTGCCTCTGCAAGCCACGCACACTGTCCCAGTTCCAGGTATGCAGCGGGTTTGTGTTGAGCCGTTAA